CTAGATTAAGATCAGACGGCTGTGTGTGAGATGTGTGAGGTTATTATTATTATTAATTGTTCGTTCTCGGCAATCGGCTATCAGCGGATACAAGTTATCAAATACAGACGTCATCACTTTGAACCCTTTATCATCATATAAGTCTTGTTTTTTTCACGAGCATCGAACCCGTGTATGGTAAAACTATAGTGATAAGGGATAATAACGTATCATTTCTTTATTTTTATCTGACTGCGACAGACGGAGGGTTATTTTTTTCGAGTGTAGATATGAACATTCATATCATATCATTTTATTAGCCCTGTTATATACAACCGAGTAAATAGAATACTGAATGTCAATCCAGAACTATGAAGAACTTGAAGTTATGGCTAAACCACATAATTGCATATAGAAATTTCCTCCGAAACTCTCCACCCTCTCAGTAACACACACACACACACACACACACACACACACACACAGACTTCCTAACAATTTATGATCTGATTCGGTTTAGTTTTATTTTGTTAATTTTATACGGTTATTAATGGAACTCTGACGGCCCCAGGCTGGAGGTGGCGTTAATGTCTGCGACACAGTTCTTTAACTAATGCATACACTTTCGCATAAAATGTTACTGTTTCCTTTGTTCTAGTTTCCAATAAAGCTTTATTATTATTATTAACATGTTTTTCTTTGGCACCCTTTCTCTGTAGCCTAAACGGAATGAGGGGTTTGACGTTAATATTAATTGGAATAATAAATAATATAATTGTAATAATTATCATTGTTGAAAAAGACAACTTCCGCATTAGGAATATATCCTGTGTCGCGGGGGACTTTACAAACATACATGAAACGGACACAAAGAACACCCAGACTCAGAACAACAATTTGTGGATCACACAAAGTGTTGTCCCATGTGGGGAACGGACCCACAACACTGAGCGTAGAAGGAAGCGGCGTGGCGTGGCAATTATGATCTATGATATATCTATGTATGTATGTTACGGCATCTTCAAACGTGATTTTGACCAACTTCTAAATGTCGAATTTTATTGAAACTTTGGACACTTATCAAGGACCGATGACAAATACAACAAATAATTTAAATAGTTTGTCCCATTATCCTGAAGTTCATGACCTGAAAATTAGAAGACACTACTCTTTTGCCACTTACTTAGGCTTGTACTGAAGCATATGTGATAAACTTACTTTTTACTTTTATCATTAATGACTAAAAAATAAAATAAAATAATATTTAAAAAATAAAAACTAAAAAACACGATTTTGTAGCTAGCCGAACTAAAAAATCGGAAATAATTTTCTATAAGTTTATAATCTATAAGTTTTAAAGAAAAATCATTTTATCGTAAAAAAAGCGTGGGGTGCTTTTCAGTGTAGTAATTTATTTACACCAATATTTGTTAGTAAACCAGTGTAAGTGTAAGTGTGTTTTGTCTTTGTTAACTCAATTCTTTAAAAAAGTAGGGTATTTGACATCAGGACGCGAATGATATTAAAAACGTTTTTTTTTATGGTTTAAGGGTAAACGAGAAGACGGGTCACCTGATGGTAAGCAACTACCGCCGCCCATGGACAGCTGCAACTCAAAAGTCACAAGTGCGTTGCTGATGTTTAATGGTGTAATGTTTTACTAATATTTTTATTTTATTTATTTACATTTATTTATTGTCACCTAAATTAAACGCATATGCAAAAGTTGAACACAATCGGTCGATAGCTGCTTCAAAATTCATTTGCAAGATTTGGCTCGAACAATGAACCGTCTGGGTGGTTTTTAGTGGACTCACCACATACTGCTGGCTCCTGAGTCCCCGAGGAGCAAGAGATCCGAAGGGTTTCAAACCCCGTCAGCACAAAAAAAAATGCCAACAAGCTGGTTTAAATTGACCGAATTAGAGAAAAGATAGACATTGAACTTGTGTGAATTCTCATTAAGATTATTTTTATTATCTTATCTTATTATTAATGTTTATTTTGTTATTAAAATTAGTATGTCAGGCGATTAGAAAAGACAAGAGACGTTTCTGCTGAATGTTTAGTAGAATACTTATTGTAATTAATGGCCTACACTCAGTAGCCTATGTTTATACTAATATCATAAAGTTGACTATCTCTATACCAAGTTTAATCTAAATCGGTTCAACGGTTTAAGCGTGCAGAGGTAACAAACAAATGGACAGACACACTTTCGCATTCATAATTTTAATATTAATGGATTTTGCTTTAAAATATTAGCTATACGTTAAATAATTTTAAAGTTTTCTTCACATATCGATATATAGAAGACAGATATTATAATAATAAATTCACACATCTCACGCACGGCCGTCTGATCCCAAACTAGGCAGAGCCTGTACTATGGTAATCAGACTGCTGATAAACATACTTATATATTTCTAAATATATAATGAATATAGATAAATTACACCCAGACACAAAACAAATGATCGTGCTCATCAGACAATTATTTGTCCTGGGTGGGCATCGAACCCACCCTTCGGCTTAGCAGTCAGGGTCACTAACCACTAGACCAACAGGCTCGTCACTAACTTATAACTAAACTACTTACTTACTTATAACTAAACCACGTATAAAGAAGAATAACAGATTTGGTGACGGCGATTTGAATTCGTTATTAAATAGTTTTTAGTAGGTCTAAACAAAATATATTAAACACTCATGGTGTACGAATATATGTTTGTATATATGTAGATATACATATATATGTATAGTGTATGTATGTGTATTTGTATATATGTGTATGTATATGTATATTTATGTATATATGTGTGTGTGTGTGTGTATCGTTTCTGTGAATATGTTTAATCACTCTGGTCATTTGTGCCGAAGCACACATACTTCAGCAAAAATGGGTCGCACACACGCACACTCGAATACACACACGTGTGTGTGTATTCTGTTCTGTGCGCGCATGCTAGTTTGTGTGTGTGTACACAAACTAGCACTCGCGCACAGAACAGGATAATTAAAATTAACCAGGTTATTAACATGGTTATGTAACCAATGTTTAAGGATAGCAGCATGTTTTATGTTATATTGCAGTATATTGTTGTGTATCGATCTTAATAGGGAATTTTCATCAATGTCAATTGACAAAATATTTTTATTTGGAAACTTTATTGCTAAAAAAAGATACCTATACAATTATTTTTGTAACTTATAATAATTTAGTAGAAAAGTTTAATCATTAAAAAGTGTTTTTTTTTTCAATCCCCTCGCAAATTTCTTATATGCAACGCTATTGGTGGAACAAAACGTGACGTCAAATTTCACTCGATGTCTTCTGTCAACAAGTTGTTTGTTTGGTTTCTGGTGATTATTATTTTGTATTGTTTCGCGTTTGTTACATATTATGTTGTAAATTTTCTGTGTTAAAGTATTAAACACGTGTGAACACAGACTTAATACAATTACTGAAACCGGTTTTGTCAAAGCCCAATCAGATGATCTTCCTAAAATAGACGTGTTTTTGATGATCAAACATTGTTTAATACATATAATTATTTTTAATCTGAAACCCAGAAATAAATTTAGAAAGGTAAATAAAAATTGTTTAGATCATCCCTCTTACTCTAATAAGTTAGGTAGGCATATGTTTTCATTCATAGGCAAGCATAGTGGCAGACTACTGAGAGGAATCGGGCCATGTCGCGTTCCGCAGGGGTCTGTCCTTGGACCACTCCTGTGGAACTACTGGGCCCTTCGAGCTATGTTCCCCCCGAGCTGGGTGTAATTTGTTACGCCGATGACACTTTGGTCACGGCCCGAGGATCTAACTTTAAAGAGGCGGCGCATCTAGCCACCAAGGGAGTCTCTCTGGTGGTCGGGCGCATTGAGGCGTTGGGCTTACAGGTGGCCCTCGAGAAGACTCTGGCCCTCATGTTCAATGGTTTAAATTTCGCTTATTTTTTTTTGGTAATTAAATAACTGGTAGAAACCTTTAAAAAATAAGATATGCATATACCCTATTATACACCAGCCCCGTAAAGAAGAAAAATATAATGATAAAGAAAAAGCGTGAGGTGCTAATAACAGAAAAGTAATGAATTAAAAAAAAAACACCCTATGTGACAAAACGCGACGACGACCAAACATCTAACTCTACACGCCTTAACTCCACTTCACAAACTCTACACCTTTTTTTCCAAATCCTTTTGGATAACTACTGGGATGGTTATGTTGCACCGGATGGTTTCGACACCGAGTGGGCCATGCCATGGGCGAAGTTGGAAAATTGATTCACTGTTAAACTTTTCGGTGATACAAAAGTTCTTGTAGTAACGAAACGGCCAAACGACATGTCTTCACTACGGTGTAGAGATCGTAAAGGGCTTGTAGAGTTAAAAGTTTGGTTCTACATGAGATCTGATAACTTTTCAACAGTACAGGTTCTCCCCAATTTTCCCATTTCATTCCTAAATTGACTGATTGATAGCAATAAACTTCCCATTACGTAAGTGATACTAAAATGAAAAAAATACTTCTACTTAATGCGTTTTGCCTAGCGATTTTAATACGTTTAAACCGACTTCAAAAAAAGGAAGAGGTTCTTAATTCTTGTGTATTTTATATTTGTTGTCACTAAAACGCCGTCATGATAACATTCTTTTTCATGTTTAGCTCCATTCGAAATTCAAGAAAAAAATCCACCACCATTCTGTATTCTACTAAGGAATACAGAATGGTGGTGGATAACAACGTCCTTTCTAAGGAGGAATACAGTTTATCACCTCACATTAAAGTTGGTGATACTTTGTTAAAAGTTCCTTAAATATATTATAAATAGTCCTATGGACAGAACAAATCCAATTCTCCCTCGCACTAAAACATTAACAAACCCAACGTACAAATTGTCAAACGCGATCAAAATAAATGAAACACTTCCTTCACATAGAAAAATATCTACCACACACATAAAAACTGGTAAATACATTCACAACACTATTAAAATACCAGATATATGTACTTACCTAGTAAAATACTTATAATATCGGATCACCGTTTAGTAATAACGATTAAATATCACAATGACATTGAATAGCAGGCGTACGGAGCAGTCAGTGTTGTTCGACAGACTGAGCTCACTGAGTCTGCCTGCACTTTGTCTGCAGCTGTACTATACTGGCGTGTGTGGCCGTGAAATAACGTGCTACATATGGGTATAGTATTAAGTTATAACCGTTATCTCGTTATTTAACTATCGGCGTCTAAATATTATGCGGGTCATTTCTTTTTTTTCCTATTGTTTATTTAATTATGTTACTGATTTCTTCGAAAAATTTGATTGCGTATGTGTGTGTGTGTTTGTTGTTATATTTAGTTTTCTGTCACTTTAATGATGTTACAGAATCGTTGAGCATAAAATTCTTTACTACTTATGTTTTTAATATTAATTCAAGAACCTAATTCTCTGTCGTAAAGCGCGTAAAACGCGCAGGGCTTAACTAAACATGGTACCGAGGTCAACCGTGAATATCGATAAACAATACCTCGTTCTAGTTACTAAATCTATCGATCTAGCTATGAAAAATTATATAAAATTAGTTTCGAGACGACCGAATGGCTTATTGGTTTGTGTAACGGACTGCTATTACAAAGATCGCGGGTTCTATTTCCGCTCATTCAAAAATTTGTATGAATGAACATTTAATGTTTGATTTGGACTGGGTGTTTCTATGTACGAGTATAATATGTATGTATTTACAAAAAAAAGTACAAATGTATTTATATCAGTTGTCTAGTACCCATAGTACAAGCTCTGATTAGTTTGGGACTAGATGGCGTTGTGTGAATGGGGATAATAATATTATTATTATTCGAATAGTCACATTTTTATGCGTCATTGGGAATGTACACCATATTTTATGTTTTTTTTAACCGACTTCAAAAAGGTTGAAGGTTATCAATTCGGATGTTTATATTCTTTTTATGTATCTTTGGGCATAACTACCTCATATATAGACGGATTTTCAATTTTTTTTTGTTCGAAAGGGGTTTATTCCGAAATGGTCAAATTTAAATTTTTATATAGATCTGATGATGAGTTTCGGAGACAGACACCACCACGCTTAAAAAAAAAGATAGCAAATCAACCGCGATTGCTGCTAGGTTTTTTGTTAGTATTGTTTGAAGTCGGTTCAGCTTTTTTTACGACGACACAAATACACGCCCCATAATGTCTGCTTGTTTGTAAATAAGTAAACCAGTTTCTTGTATATTTTTTTTTTATTTATTTTTTTTCGGTTTGATTGTAAGTTAGCTTGCTCTGTTTTGTGAGTAAACCACTTTCTTTTGTATTTATTGATTTTGTTGACATAACTATATATAACATGTAACAAGGTGAAGTCACTGGGTCCTATAATACAGTTCTTACTAGTTTAGTTTATTTATACTATTTGTAACACTTTTATGTCAATAAATATTTCATTTCATTTCATTTCATATTATATACCAGATATGTAATTAAATAGTTCGTATGTCTAACATATTCGTTAAATAATACATTTCTACTTTATTTATCTAATTAAAAAATATTAACTACATCAATTGTAAATGTTTTCTTTTTCTAATTTTGCACGTTTTTTCACTCAATATCATCATTAACGATCTAAATACTAAAAAATAACGTTATTAGTAACTGCTAACAGCTCTTTTTCCCAACATTAAAACTAAGCGTATATGTTGAGACTTGAGCACTATCAATTCGTTTTATATTCCATTTTTTTTGCAGATCAGACAAATAATAATAATAATTACTTCACACATCTCACACACGGCCGTCTGATTCCAAACTAGGCAGAGCCTATACTATGGTAACCAGACCACTGATAAACATACTTAAATATTTCTAAAGACGTACATATTATAGAAAAATTAGACACAGAACAAATGATCGTGCTCATCACACAATTATTTATCCTAGGTGAGAATCGAACCCACGACCTCTGGGTTACCAGTCAGGGTCACTAACGACTAGACCAAAAGGCCCGTCAAACGTAATGATTATAAATGAGCAGGCAGGTCACCTCATGGTAAGTGACTACCCCAACTCATGGGCTACGCATCTCAGGAGTCACAAGTTGCCGCCCTTCGACCCTTCAATTTACATAAATTAATTGAATTACATGAACTTTAATGGATTACTAATAAATTATTTATGGTATATATAATTTTAAATTTAATTCATTTAAATGCGTACTGCTTAAAATGTAACTATAACGTAAGGTAACTTTTAAACTTACTGTACCTAAACGATGTCCATTATGATACTAATGCTAAGCTATACCATCTAATTTACATTGTGGAATTTCAATTAAATAATACTGTTTATCCCCCCCCCCCAGCCCCCTTCACGTACTCGGTGAATAACAACGAAAGAATGATTGAACACTGGTTTTCTGTGACGCCGTGGTATCAAGCCGGTCGAGCCACCATGGGAGTGTACCAAATGAATAGTACGGAGATTTGCAAAATTCTGTTTTTCTTGTTCGAAAGGGGTTTATTCCGAAATGGTCCCATTGAAATTTCATATAGATCTGATGATGAGGTTCAGAGACAGCGTAACTCTTCAAAAATGATAGCAAATGAACTGCGATTGCTGCTAGGTTTTTAGTGCTCTTTGTTAATAGTGTTTGAAGTCGGTTCAACTTTTATTATAATATATGAAATGGTCCCCATTCAACAAGAGAGGGGCTAACGAGCGGGGTCAATCCAACTCCACTCCATCTTTCATACTAGTGATAAGTAAGTCTATTATTCGATAAGTTAATTATTAATACATATATGTAATTAACACGATGTACGTGTTTATTTACTAATAAACAGATCTGTATGAAATGTTTTGTTATGTCAGTAGCGGCATTCGATTATGAAAGATTAAATCACACTTCACTTCACAGATCACACTTCACTGTAACAGGGATTTAATAAAGTCACCACTACTTGTAAAAATCATATGATTTATAAATCATATAGTCACACTAGTGACTAAATTACAAAACGACTGTCACGAAAAAGCAAGGTCGTAAATATTTGATAAAACGGTTTGTTTTTTCTTCGCTTAAGTTTTTAATGGCATTGATCTACGTTTACGACCAAATCCTAGTACTGATTTACCGCAGGTGAATTCGCAGTAACTAAAACCAATAATTTCATCATATGATTATGATTTAAAAGTAGCAATAATGTTTATCACTAATAACAGCTAACCCAAGTTACAAGTATTCAGCCCTAACCTGTTCCAGCTACTGCTTCATTATAATCATCAACAGCCTATCATAGTGCTACTACTGCTGGACATAAGCCTCTCCTTAGAAAGAAGGTCATGGCCTACTACCTAAGCCTAAACTACTGCTGACTTTCCCTAATGCTAAGGATTCTATTCCCTTCCAATTTAGTTAACCTTTTTAGGGTTCCGTACCTCAAAGAGATAAAAACGGAACCCTGATAGGATCACTTTATCGTCCGTCTGTCTGTCAAGACCCTTTATCTCGGAAACGCGTGAAGGTATTCAGTTGAAATTAAAACGATATATTCAGGTCTACAGTTTCTTGAAGCTGTAACATAATCAAACTCCTTTTTTGTTTTTAACGTGTGGAAATCCCCTCTGACCGTCACCCAGCCAGGGTTCTCTATTCAGCGGGGCGGTGTGCCACCGACAGGTGGTATCCGAGGGGATTTCCGCACGGAAAAAAAAAAAAAAAAAAAGAGGGGTGTCCAGGGAGTTATCGCCTTCTGGACCCCTCCCAGCGCCGGCCCGCTCCTGGTGCGGGCTCCGTCTCAATTTAGCCTCTCTTTATAGGCAATGTCCGGCACACGAGGACGCCGCCCCCTCTCGGCTGGCCAAAATAATGCGGGTGGAGGGGAAAACCCATCCCGTCCACCCGCGGCCACTCTCAGGGCGGCATGACGCGCAGGCGAACCGGGCGGCGGATCGGGTCCGAGTGGAGGTCGTCCGCCGCCTCCTTCTGCGAGATTACTTCCTGAAGGTTGCGACCGCGGTAAAACAACTGTCGCTACCGGCCATGGAGCGTACTACAGCCGGTAGCGAGAGATCCACTCCGATGACTGCAATGAGGGCCCGGCAACATAATCAAACTCCTAAGTTAAGGTAAAAAAAGATAAGGCCCTGTATGCCGGCAAAAACGCATATTTTGACAATCTCAAGGAAATAAAAATTCATAATTCCTGTTGATCTATACGGTAACCCTTGGAAAAAACTACGAGATTCGATTTCTGAACTATTTATAATATGTACCTACAAAAGTGTACGGCACGGATGGGCGAGTCTGACTTGTCGAAATTGTTTTAATAAAAAAAAAATTGTACAATGGTACAAGTTTTATGTTAGTCGTGATTGTCTATAACTGGATCAACAAGGCATGTTTTTGTATAATTTTTTAATTATTGTAGAAATGTGTATGGTTTGTTGGCGATCTAAATAAAAAAAATCTATACTAATTACTAATATTACTAATTACTAATATACTAATAATATTATAAAGCTGAAGAGTTTGTTTGTTTTTTTGAACGCGCTAATCTCAGGAACTACTTGTCCGATTTGAAAAATTCTTTCAGTGTTAGATAGCCCATTTATCGAGGAAGGCTATAGGCTATATACCATCAGCTAAGACCAATAGGAGCGGAGCACCAATTAAGAATGTTTCAAAAACGGAGAAAATTTATTACTATTGAGCGACGCAGACGAAGTTGCGCGGGTCAGCTAGTAGTATATATAGTAACAGTAGCGGTAAAGATTGATTGGCGGGTAAGCCTTATTGGCAATCACAGTTATGTTGTTTTATCTTATCGTTTTTATTGTACGATAGGAGTAGATAGTGGTTTTTGTCAGGAAAGTGTTATCTCTCAAAAAAATCACGGGATAATTTTCTGTTATATAATAACATGGCATATCTCACACAGACAGAGCCTGAACTATTTTAACCAGTAGCATGGGACAAAATTACAGTGAACTGTGATTTTTCTAAGCTAAAAGAAAGCTACATTACCAGCGAGTAACACAGGCTTACTTTTTACCCCGATAATACATAAACAAGGGCAAAACCTCATTATAGATAACTTACACCCAGACACAGAACAAATCATCGTGCTCATCACAAAATTGCTCAAACCAACGACCTCACTAAACCAACAGGCCCGTCATGTAATAAAGACTGTGATAAGGATATTTATGTCGTAGGCCAGTTGCGAATTGCCTGGTCACGAGTCCTTGATAAGACATTGATTGATTTGCCTATACAATTTCCGCCATCTTAGGTCGTTGATATGTTTACACAGACTGTGTAAAAATAACAATAGGAATGTTAGCAGGGAGAACACATAAAGAAGCATAACTCCCACGAATAAGAAAAAAGGATCATCATCAACAGCCTTTATTAGTCCACTTCTGGACATAGGCCTCTCCTTAAAAAGGAGGTTTTGCTACTATTCCACGCTGGCCAGATGGGTTAGTACAAGGTTTGTATCAAGATTGCCTCCTCTTTGCCGTGCTGTTGTCCTGCGTAGTTTGCTTCTTTAGTCGGCTCTTACGACACACACCAGATGATTAGGGGTGATGGTACTCCGTGTTTTTAATCCATCACCACACGGACGACACATCCATACCACCACACATCTTGGATGGGACACTTGTCTAAGACTGCAGCAGTTTTTTTTCAATTTATTGACACAAAAAATATATTACGGTGTTAGCTGTAAAACGTCACAAAACCTTAACAGGTTTGTATGGACGTTGAATGGCGTATGACGTTGAGTTTGATGAGTTATAGTTAAACCGCCGTAAGCTTGGCCCTCCTGATGGTTTGCGGGACGCGGGGCGGGTGATGCGCTCGGCTATACATGACACAATGTACTAAATCGATATCTTCAGATTTATTTGTTTGAGATTTAATCTACACACGATGTAATAAAAGTCGAATTTATTTCCATGTATTATAATTTCAGTGTATTGTCAGTTTTATGATTAATTGTAAAATTTAATACTGTAAAATAATTTTAATAAAATTACCTTATCTTCATCATGTAAATTATATTCAGATACAATTTAAAAATTAAGTAAAATAATAAATATTCTTATTCTTTTTATTCCTCTGTAAGCCGAACTTCAAGTTTTTAAATCTTTTTGTGACGCAGAGTCGGCAGATTATCCATGTTGCAAAATAATACCGTGTGTAGTAGTCTTAAGAAAAATAACACGTGCAGCCATGCTTTCACGTCAGTCACTGCCGGCGGACAGCGACGCACTAGCTAATTGGTTAAATGCACCCCCGCCCCGCGTCCCCCAGACCATCAGGAGGGCCAAGCTTACGGCGGTTTAACTATAGTATAATGTAGCAAGCTACTTTGATCCCTTACATGGGACGATACTTTGTCTAATCTACAACTTGTTGTTCTGAGTCTGGGTTCTTTGTGTCCGCTTCATGTATGTATGTAAAGTCCCCCGCGACACAGGATATATTATTAATGCGGGAGTGGTGTTTAAAGAAAAACCATATATACAGAGGTGTCTTTAACGGTAATTGCGCTTCAATGTTTTTTCCCCATCTCAAAAAATATATTCTTTTGTTTGTTATTCAAAAATGCCCATCGCGCCTAAAGAAGTTTTCACTTCAAAAACACTAAATACGAGTATGTCAAAGCGTAGAAAAGATCGAAAACTTTACAAGCTGAATATGTTTTCTTGCTCAAAGATTTTTAAAAGGCGCTTTGTTTTTGGTTAAGTTAATTTAGGATGATCAAACAATATTCTTTGTCACACAAAGCTGTGTGCTGGTGCTATCCCTCATGCTGTTTCTTTTGCATGTCAACGATGTTTTGCAAATCAGCAGCATTATAGAAGACGTGGTGACTTTTATACCAGTCGTCATAACGTGTCTCTCTGTTGTGACGGATTAAAAATACACAGTGTCACCACCCCAATTCGTCCTATGGGTGTCGTAAGAGCCGACTAAGGGAGCAAAGTATGCAGCACAACAGCACTGCTAAGAGAAGGACAACTTGAAACAAACTCTATATCAACCCGTCTGGCCATCGTGGTATAGTAGGACAAAACTTTCTAAGGAGAGGCCTATGTCCCGCAGTGGACTATTTAAAGGCTGTTCATGATGATGATGATAAGTTGAAGATTATGGTAGCATACACCCCACTAAGTATTAGAGACATTCTTTTCTATTGAGATAGTCTTGCAGAACTAAATGATTATTAGCAGATCCGCCATCCTTTTTTTCCGACCTATTTATTAATGGGCCTAAACGCTGTCAGACTATAGGTTTATTCTTTGCATTGCAAGACGTTGAAGAAGCAGTTATGTGCCCTGGTTGTAGACACAAGGTGACTCAAGCATTTCAAAGGTATGTCATACGTGTTACGAGACGCTTTAATTCTCGTTCGAAAAATAATTTACTTCCTACTTTTTTATTCGATTACTAGCTTTCGCCCGCAGTATTTCCGATTTCAGTAACCGTGATACTTATTTCGGCCGGTTTATATATAATAGCATTAGATTTTTTGCGACTTCTTGAACAATAATCGGTTTATTTATTTATTTACAACTTTATGCACTTATGTACAACGGCGGGCTTAATGCCCAAGGCATTCTCTACCAGCCAACCTCTTGGGGGGTGTAGAAATCTGGTGAGGTAGGTGCACTGAGGTTGCAATTGCTATAGCAGTTATAACTAACATACAAAATTACACACATACATACACACATATACATATACAGATATAAATACACATAAAATACATACATATACTTTATATTCGTACACTGTAAATATGGATTTGTACTATTGAGTAGGTAATTCCGCCAGCTGAAGAAGGTTATATCGGTCAATTTACATAAAATCATGAATTATACACCTAAACCTTCCTCAGGAATTACACTATCTATTAGTGAAAATGGTACAAAAATCCGTTGCGTAGTTTTTGAGTTCATCGCTTTCATGAAGAGAGACTTCATTTTATAAAATTTTAAACACTATTTGTGAGAAGAATTATATTGTTTCTCAATTGCATATCACCGTGCGTGGTTGAGCCACGTTTCATCACAAATGGGTAGGCTCGACCGGAGTGATACCACGGCCTCACATAAAACCTTTATTTACCTATTCTTTTGTAGCTTTCCACCGAGTGAATGAGGTTGCCGGAGTCCAAACACCCTCCACCTGATTCTTGGCGCTCAAAAAACTGTAACACACTTGTGACTCTAAAGTAGCAGCTTCATATGGTCGGCGGTAGTCCTCTGCTGCCAGGTGACCCGGCTGCTCGTTTTTTCATATACTAAAAGACAAAATGTCCATACTTTTGTCACTTTTGCACAACTGTCACTCTTCTTACGCGTTATTATTTAGTAGTCATCAATGTGTGCATCAGCGAGCATGCCTGATGCACTGAAATACGGGGGAACTTCTTCACAAAAAAATTCACAAATTGCTTTTATAAGTGCATAAGAATAGCAAAAATTAAAACAACAGAACTCAAATTACAACAAAATAATTGTGAAAATAATTTAATGTATTAAAAACGTTACTTAGAAACTTAAACAATATATCATGTGATGTTCGTGTAGTGACGGATTAAGAATATGGAATGTCACTAACCCAATTCATCCCGTGGGTGTCGTAAGAGGCGACTAAGGGCGCAAAACAACGCAGGACACCAGCACTGCAAAAAGAAGGAAAACTTGATACAATCCTTATACCAACCCGTCTGGCCAGCGTGGTATAGTAGCCATACTGGTATATAGCCAAAACCTCCTTTCTAAGGAGAGGCCTATGTCCAGCAGTGGACTATTAAAGGCTGTTGATAAACAATATTTACATTTTTCATGATTATAAATCAATATTTAAAGATGCAACTGTATCGAGCTGTTATTTCAGTAATTTTTTTGAACATTTGACAAAACAGATTGTTGCTATTGTGTGTTGATCTACGACCTTAGAACAGAGATTCCCAAAGTGGTGGATATCGAACCCTTGGGGTCGAAATTGGTTTCTCAGGGGTCGACATAAACAAAATCAGATTCTGGGAGTCGACGAGGTCTGTTTGAGTTTGAAAATTATTACATACAGTAATAAAATTTGCTGTACTGCAGTTGCTTTCATTTCCACTTCCATACATTTTTATTACTTGTTGACACGCGCACCTTCCTCTCCGACTCCCAAAAGGAATAAATACTCCCAGCAATATTTTTCATTGATGGCCGGCTTCTATTGGATGTTATAGTATTTATAGCATTCCTCAATAAATAGGCTATCCAACGCTAAAAGAATTTTTCAATTCGAACCAGTAGTTTTTGAGATTAGCGCGTTTAACTAAACAAACAAAATCTTCAGATTTATAATATTAGTATAGTATTCTATTCTCTTCATTTTCAGGATCAATCTATTCAGTTTGTTTTTCACATTTTCAATTTCCAAAGAGCCTGTTGACCGCAATATTATTAAATGATCTTATTACAGGAGTGGGACCAAATTATACCTGACAAAGTATTTATTAAAGTACCTAATACGTCTTAGCATATCCCTTCCAGGAAAACGGCGTGTGTATGCATATAAGAATATAATTCAGACGGCCAGATGGGGCAGTGGTTTGTGTAACGGACTGATGCGTCGAAGGTCGTTGGTTCAAGACCGGCTGAAGTCAAACATTTGTATGCATGAACTTTAATGTTTGATTTGGTCTGTTGTTCTATGTATTATATTCATCCCATCACATCAACAGCTTTTAATAGACCACTGATGGACATAGGCCTCTCCTTAGAGAGGAGGTTTTGACATACTATACCACGCCAGATGGGTTGGCACAGGGTTTGCGTCAAGTTTTCCTTCTCTTTTTAGTGCTGTTGTCTTGTTTGCTTTCTTAGTCGGCTCTTACGACACCCACGAGATGAATAGGGGTTTTGACACTCCATATTAATATGTATGTATTTACAAAAAAGTGTACAAATATATATGTATTTACAGTGAAATTAGTCTCGAGAAATTTTTGCATATGTAGTGGTGTGAATATTACTCAGATCTTAGAGCGCATTTCCACTATATCGTTCTGGCCTATACAAAAATGTTTCGATATCCTAACATTAATATTTAATTTTATACTTATCCCTAGCAACACTCTGATTTTCGTTTTCAATAAAAACAAGTTTTTATTTTAAAGAAAAAGGTTTTGACTTTATAAAAAAAAAGGTGTGTGTGCGATTCACACACGATAGAAGTGAAACTTCAAAGAGGAGAGACCGATATTTAATTTTTTTTTTTTCCTTTCATCTAGGTTTTTAAAACTCCGGGAGGTCTACGGGGGGGGTCAAAATTTTTGTTATTTTTGGCCTAGGACGCACCGTTTCCGAGATATTTCAATCTAAAGCAAAAAATCGTCACTTGATAGTGGAAAGTGGAAACACGCACAACCATACACTACTACAAACGCAAAAATTTCTCCAAGCTAATTTACCTGTATATCAGTTGTCTAATACCCGTAGTACAAGTATTGTTAAGTTTGAGCCTAGATGGCGTTGTGTGAATGTGGTAGAATATTATTATGTTATTGGTATGGTCGCTATTTCTTATTAAATAGTGCTTGTATAGCATATACGGACAACCCCTTGGTCTCAGG